ATGCGTTGCATGCCACTAATCTTGCTGAAATCACAGATTGCTATGTTATGCTCGTGGTGCGGTGCAATGCTATGCTTTGCACCTTTAGGCTGTGTCCAGCCTCAAACCCCAAACCATAATATCAGAATTAGTTCAATCAGTATCAGTCCATGTAGGTCGTCGTTATCCTTACCCCCCTCCCTCTTCCTTCTCCTGGCTCCGTGTCCTCTCTCGCTCATCTCATGGGGTGGCCCCCCACCTCCCCCCCTCGATATGTCGTCGCCAATGGTAGGTCACAACGCTATAAGCATGATGGCATGTCACAGGCCGTGGATATGGGATATGCCCCGAGGCCCACAAGAGCTCCACGGTACGCCCGCCGCCGGCGCGGTTTCATATTTAACGGCGCGGCCACCCAAGACAGGCCTTCATTGGCCAAGAGGTTCGCCTTCCTACGCACGACGCCCACACCACGCCTCCTCATCCACACCTCCTTCTCCAAACATCCTCCGCGTCAACCATTTTGGCTCGAAGCGCGACTTTGCTTTCGCGCTAGTCGCGCCTTTGAGGCGCTTCCATTGCTTCGCGCGGTCTCGCGCGCATCCGCTCCGTGTCGCGATGGCGGAGCTGTTCCGCAAGGACCTTCTCACGGAGAGGAAGGCCTCTCGCGGGCCAAGGCAGCCCGAGGGCCCGCCGCCGACGCGCCTTCGGCTGACGAAGGACCCAGAGCTCGCGCAGTTGGCGGCGATCGCAGAGCAGGCTGGCTCCATGGAGTTCAACCCGTTTCGCCACGCGACGCTGTGCGTGCACGCGGATGAGCTCAGCACGAGCGAGTTCTTGCAGCAGTGCTCGGAGGACACGCTTTGGGCCGGCCGTCCAGACGGCCGCTGGCATGCACTTCAACACGTCGCTTGAGGTCTCAGGCGGGTGGCTCTGGAAGTCGGTGGAGCAGCGCGAGCTCAAGGGCGGCCACTGGGCTCGCGTCTACCTCTTCAGGACCGACGACGGCTGGTACGCATCGGACACGATGTGGGCGACGAAGCTGCAGCGCCAGAACGTCCAGAACGAAGGGGAGATCTCCATCTTGTTCTGGTCGGAGGCGGCCGCTTCGTTCGAGGACGCGCCGACGATGCCGCTCCACTTCCCGTGGTGGTCGTCCAGCGAGTCGGACGGCGTGACGGTGGTGAGCGGCCACCAGGCGTTCGAGGCCATCGTCAAGACGCCCGACAACGGTGGCAAGGGCGGCAAGGGCGGCGCGAAGGGCGGCAAGGGCGACGGGAAGAGCGAGCCATCCAGGGGCAAAGGCGGCCACGGAGGATGGCTTCCGCGCTGTGCGTCGTTGATCTCGTGCTACGAGAACGGCGACTACAGGGGCTTCGAGGCCCACGCAGCGGACTACAAGAACAAGAGCTCGCAGCTTCGCAAGCTGCTGGGCCTCGAGTAGGCGACGCTTCGGAAGCTGCTGGGCCTCGAGTAGGCGAGTATATCGGTTCGGCGTTTGACTACCGAGACTTGGTAGTCAAACGGAGGCGTCTAGCGTTTGACTACAAAGACTTGGTAGTCAAACGCAGGACCGCCACCGTTTGACTACAGAGACTTGGTAGTCAAACGCAGGACCGCCGTCGTTTGACTACCAAGTCTCTAGAGTCAAACGCAGGATCGCTGCGTTTGACTCTAGAGACTTGGTAGTCAAACGAATTCGGCTTCGAGAAGGCTTGGGCTCTGCTGTGCCGTCGCGAGGCCGCCGCAGGGGCCTGTCGGGCTAGCTGGTGCGCCTCCATAGACCGTCGGAGTTCATCCGATTTGGTGGGGTTCGTTCCCTGATCCAACCTCCCCCCACGCGTCCATAGGCCTCCCAGGAGGCCTCTACCCGAGGGGGGCAGAGGGACGAGGAGAGGAGGAGTATGAGGATGATAAGGGTGGGGAGGAGGATGAGAGTGAGGATGGGCCCCTCTCCAACCCCTCTCCCCCTCTCCCAATCGCCCCCCCCCCCCCCCCCCCCAACGCTCACCCTCTCCATCCCATTGTAACCCATCATGGCGACCTTTGGAGGCGCCCACGCCCTTTGCACGGCGAAAGGGGGAGCGGCGAATGAGAAAAGGGAAGGCATGTTTGCGCACTTTTTGCGCCATAGGCTTTAGGCACCGAGCCAAGTGCGTGGTCAGTTTGGTTCGTTTTGATTCAGGTTTGAACCAATTCCTGGTGCGAACATCCCTGGCGAGAAGCTCGCGTTTCGAATCGTCGAAATCCATGGCTCGGCGCGCCACGTTTGATGAAGAGCTTCTTGCTCTGTGCCCACAGATGCGCAGAGCCACGGTGACGCCGTCGGCGTGCACAACGCGGACCGCGGCGCGATGCAAACCAACATCCTCCCCACTCTGTGTCCATCATCATCCTACTCACCTTGCCCTCCTCCTCATTCGCCTCCGTGCCCCGTGCCCAGGAGAAGGTGGATGAACGCGAGGAGTAGAAGGGGAGGGATGAGGAGGGCGAGGAGGAGGAGGATGAAACAGAGGATGAGGATGGATAGGGGGAGTCCTGTCCTCCTCCTCCACTCAGCGGACACGTTGGGCGATCAGGTCTCGCGTGAATGGGGGCGGGGGAAGGGATGCATCCGACGCTGTGCTATGATATGTCATGCGTGCAGTCCGAACATCAAAATGATATGCCATGCGCGCGGATCGGTGGAGTGCCATGCCATGCATGCAACGTCAACATGTAATGCTATGCCATACAATGCTACAAGCTAAACCGCCCCTCCCACGCCCCCGACTTAAATAGCCCATCAGTTTCAGTTCGTCTATGATGTCGTTCTCCTCAACCCCCCTACTCCCTCCTCTCCTGGCTCCGCGGCCTCCCTCGCTCATCTCATGGGGTGGCCCCCCACCTCCCCCCTCCTCCAGTCGTCGTGAATGTCGTCATTCCGTCTCTGTGGTGTTTCGGCGTTTTGTCAGGAGAAGGAGGGGGATGGGGATGATGAGGGCAAGGAGAAGGGTGGCACATATAACGAGGATGAGGAGAATGAGTATAGGATGAGGCGAAGGGGGAGGAGGATGAGGAGGAGGATGAGAAGGATGCGGCGGCTCATCCTCCTCCTCTTCCTCCTCCTTCCTCCTCCCTCCTTCCTCATTCTTCCGTCCACCGCCCTCCTTCATCATTCCTCCTTCGTCCTTCCTTCTCCTCCTCCCTCCGCCTCCTCCTTCTCGTCATTCCTCCGCCTCCTCCTCGTCCTCCTACTCCTGCTCATCATCCCCCTCCTCCTGCTCCTCCTGCTGATCCTCTTCCTCCTCCTTCTCCTCCTACTCCTGCTCCTGCTCCTCCTCCTCCTCCTCCTCCTCCTTCCCCTCCTCCTCCTCCTCCTCACTTCACCCCCACGCCCCGCTGTCTCCGCCCTCGTCCCTCCTCTCTCCTCCCTCTTCATTCCTTCTCCTCCGTCCTCGTTCCTCCTTGCTTACCCTCCTTCCTCCTTCCTTATGGCTGCTTCCTCCTCCCTCTTCTTCTTCGGATGGGGAGGATGAGGAGGGGGGTCTGCACCCGTCGGCGCGCCGCCGACCCTCTGTGGCGCAACGGCGGGGATGCGGAGGATGGCGACGATGATGGCGACGAGGGGAATGAGGATGAGCCAGAAGGGTGAGGGGGATGAGGGATGAGGAGGATGAAAAGACAGGAAGGAGGAGGACGACGAGGAGACCGAGGAGGATGAGGGGGATGCGGAGGAGGAGGAGGGGGGCGATTCAGCAGTCAAGCAGTCGTCGTTCTCCTCAACCCCCCTACTCCCTCTTCTCCTGGCTCCG